TCAAACGACGTCCGATTTCGACCAAATTTCACAGGAAGCGCTTAACGCATATTTAAGACCTGTACCGGGCGTCGGAACCAAAATACGAGCCCGATACCTATATTTTCTAACTCATTTTCATTTCCATTTTTCCTTTATAATTTCCGAAAACAATTTAACAGAAAAATTCTTTTACCGGGGTTCTGGACCTCGGATTTCGACTCCGGGCACATGCCCGAGTCCCATATTTTTCTACGGACCTCCCGGGACCGTCACATCACCGGTCCGGGTCCGTTTACCAAAAATGTTGACCAAAGTCTACTATATCAATATTAATATCATAATTCTTCAAATTTTTCACAGAACTCATATATTTTAACATATAAATTTTCCGGCTTCGCGCCCGGACTGCGCACGCAAATCGAGGCAACCAAAAGTGAGGTTTCCAAGGCCTCGGAAGCGCGGAGAAAGGGAGAAATACGGTGATGACCCTTTGGGTCGTCATATTCTCCACCTCTGAAACAACCGTTCGTCCTCGAACGGACAAAAGAAAGAAGTACCTGAGTCAGGAAATAAATGAGGGTAACGGCTCCGCATATCAGACTCGGACTCCCAGGTCGATGCCTCAGGGGGCTGACCTCTCCATTGAACACGTACTGATGGAAAACTCTTCGACCTCAACTGTCGAATCTGCCGGTCTAGAATGGCTACTGGCTCCTCCTCGTAAGACAGATCCTTGTCCAACTGGACAGTGCTGAAATCTAACACGTAGGTAGGATCTCCGTGATACCTCCGAAGCATAGACACATGAAACACTGGATGTACGGCTGACAAGCTAGGTGGCAAGGTAAGTCTATAAGCCACCTCTCCCACTCGATCAAGTATCTCAAATGGACCAATGTACCTAGGGCTAAGCTTGCCCTTCTTCCCAAATCTCATCACGCCCTTCATAGGCGATACTCGGAGCAATACTCGCTCCCCAACCATGAAGGCTACATCTCGAACCTTGCGATCTGCATAACTCTTTTGCCGCGACTGAGCCGAACGAAGCCTGTCCTGAATGAGCTTGACCTTATCTGACTGGAGTCCGACATCGCCTACCATATAACGCCTCATATGGAGCCATCTGAATGCTGGACTGGTAGCTGTTGTTGTAGGCGAACTCTACTAAAGGTAAGAACTGGTCCCACGAGATCGGACTGGCCGTCCGTCTGAGGATGGAACGGTGTGCTCAACTGAACCTGGGTGCCCAACTCCTGCTGAATTGCCCTCCAGAAGCACGAGGTAAACTGCGTACCCCGATCCGAAATAATAGATACCGGCACCCCATGAAGGCGAACAATCTCTCGGATGTAGATCTCCGCTAACCTCTCCGATGAATAGGTGGCTGCAATAGGAATAAAATGCGCTGACTTGGTCAGCCTATAAACAATGACCCAAATAGCATCAAACTTCTTCCGAGTCATCGGAAGTCCAGTAACGAAATCCAAAGTAATCCGCTCCCACTTCCACTCGGGAAGCTCAATCCTCTGAAACACACCACCAGGCCTCTGATGCTCATACTTGACCTGCTGACAATTCAAACATCGAGCCACATATGCAACAATGTCCTTCTTCATCCTACGCCACCAGTAATGCTGCCGCAAGTCCTGATACATCTTCGCGGCGCCCGGGTGAATAGAATACCGAGAACTATGGGCCTCCGCTAAGATCAACTCTCGAATACCATCAACATTGGGCACACATACTCGCCTCAGCAACCTCAAAATACCATCCACATCTAAAGTCACCTTCGTGGCACCTCCACGCTGCACGGTGTCTCTCAGGACACATAAATGAGGATCATCAAACTGTCGATCATGGATACGCACCAATAATGAAGATCGAGCAACCGTGCAAGCTAATACTCGGCTAGGCTCAGAAATGTCCAACCTTACAAACCGATTGGCCAAGGCCTGAATATCCAAAGCAAGCGGTCTCTGGCTGACCGGAATATAGGCAAGACTACCCATGCTGGCGGACTTCCTACTCAATGCATCGGCCACCACATTGGCTCTCCCCGGGTGGTACAAAATAGTAACATCATAGTCCTTCAATAGCTCCAACCACCTCCGCTGCCTCAAGTTCAACTCCTTTTGCTTGAACAAGTATTGCAGACTCTTGTGATCCGTGTACACCTCACACGTCACACCATATAGGTAATGCCTCCAAATCTTCAGAGCATGAACAATGGCTGCCAACTCGAGATCATGAACCGGATAATTCTTCTCGTGGATCTTCAACTGCCTCGAAGCATAGCAATGACCCTGCCATCCTGCATCAATACCGCACCAAGCCCAATACGGGAAGCATCACAATAAACTGTATAAGGTCCTGAGCCTGTGGGCAAAACCAATATCGGTGCCGTAGTTAGAGCTTTCTTGAGCTTCTGAAAGCTCGCCTCACACTCATCCGACCATCTGAACTGGGCACCCTTCTGGGTCAATCTGGTCATCGGGGCTGCTATGGATGAAAATCCCTCCACGAACCGGCGGTAGTAACCTGCTAACCCCAAGAAACTCCGAATCTCTGTAGCTGATGCTGGTCGAGGCCAGTTCTTGACTGCCTCAATCTTCTTCGGGTCCACCTGAATACCCTCTGCTGATACAACATGACCCAGGAATGCAACCGAACTCAACCAGAACTCGCACTTCGAGAACTTCGCATACAACTGACTATCCTTCAGAGTCTGAAGAACCACTCTGAGGTGCTGCTCGTGCTCTTCCTGGCTGCGAGAGTACACNATACGGTGATGACCCTTTGGGTCGTCACATTCTCCACCTCTAAAACAACCGTTCGTCCTCGAGCGGACAAAAGAAAGAAGTACCTGAGTCAGGAAATAAATGGGGGTAACGGGTCCGCATATCAGACTCGGACTCCCAGGTCGATGCCTCAGGAGGCTGACCTCTCCACTGAACACGTACTGAAAGAAAACTCTTCGACCTCAACTGTCGAACCTGCCGGTCTAGAATAGCTACCGGCTCCTCCTCGTAGGACAGACCCTTGTCCAACTGGACAGTGCTGAAATCTAACACGTGGGTAGGATCACCGTGATACCTCCGAAGCATAGACACATGAAACACTGGATGTACGGCTGACAAGCTAGGTGGCAAGGCAAGTCTATAAGCCACCTCTCCCACTCGATCAAGTATCTCAAATGGACCAATGTACCTAGGGCTAAGCTTGCCCTTCTTCCCAAATCTCATCACACCCTTCATAGGCGATCCTTGGAGCAATACTCGCTCCCCAACCATGAAAGCTACATCTCGAACCTTGCGATCCGCATAACTCTTTTGCCGCGACTGAGCCGAACGAAGCCTATCCTGAATGAGCTTGACCTCATCCAAGGCCTCCTGAACTAAATCTGTACCCAATAATCGAGCCTCTCCCGGCTCAAACCATCCTACTGGAGTCTGACATCGCCTACCATATAACGCCTCATATGGAGCCATCTGAATGCTGGACTGGTAGCTGTTGTTGTAGGCGAACTCTGCTAAAGGTAAGAACTGGTCCCGCGAGCCTCCGAAATCAATGACACAGGCTCAGAGCATATCCTCCAATATCTGAATAGTCCTCTCGGACTGGCCGTCCGTTTGAGGATGGAACACTGTGCTCAACTGAACCTGGGTGCCCAACTCCTGCTGAACTGCCCTCCAGAAGCGCGAGGTAAACTGCGTACCCCGATCCGAAATAATAGATACCGGCACCCCATGAAGGCGAACAATCTCTCGGATGTAGATCTCCGCTAACCTCTCCGATGAATAGGTGGCTGCAACAGGAATAAAATGTGCTGACTTGGTCAGCCTATCAACAATGACCCAAATAGCATCAAACTTCTTCCGAGTCATCGGAAGTCCAGTAACGAAATCCATAGTAATCCGCTCCCACTTCCACTTGGGAAGCTCAATCCTCTGAAACACACCACCAGGTCAAGTATGCGCATCAGAGGCTTGGTACATCTTCGTGGCGCCCGGGTGAATAGAATACCGAGAACTATGGGCCTTCGCTAAGATCAACTCTCAAATACCATCAACATTGGGCACACATACTCGCCCCTGCAACCTCAAAACACCATCCGCATCTAAAGTCACCTTCGTGGCACCTCCACGCTGCACGGTGTCTCTCAGGACACATAAATGAGGATCATCAAACTGCCGATCACGGATACGCTCCAATAATGAAGATCGAGCAACCGTGCAAGCTAATACTCGGCTAGGCTCAGAAATGTCCAACCTCACAAACCGATTGGCCAAGGCCTGAATATCCAAAGCAAGCGGTCTCTGGCTGACCGGAATATAGGCAAGACTACCCATGCTGGCTGACTTCCTGCTCAATGCATCTGCCACCACGTTGGCTCTCCCCGGGTGGTACAATATAGTAACATCATAATCCTTCAATAGCTCCAACCACCTCCGCTGCCTCAAGTTCAACTCTTTCTGCTTGAACAAATATTGCAGACTCTTGTGATCCGTGTACACCTCGCACGTCACACCATACAAGTAATGCCTCCAAATCTTCAAGGCATGAACTATGGCTGCCAACTCTAGATCATGGACTGGGTAATTCTTCTCGTGAATCTTCAACTGCCTCGAAGCATAAGCTCTGACCTTGCCATCCTGCATCAATACTGCGCCAAGCCCAACACGGGAAGCATCACAATAAACTGTATAAGGTCCTGAGCCTGTGGGCAAAACCAATATCGGTGCCGTAGTCAGAGCTTTCTTGAGCTTCTGAAAGCTCGCCTCACACTCATCCGACCATCTGAACTGGGCACCCTTCTGGGTCAATCTGGTCATCGGGGCTGCAATAGATGAAAACCCCTCCACGAACCGGCGATAGTAACCTGCTAACCTCAAGAAACTCCGAATCTCTATAGATGATGCTGGTAGAGGCCAATTCTTAACTGCCTCAATCTTCTTCGGGTCCACCTGAATACCCTCTGCTGATACAACATGACCCAAAAATGCAATCGAACTCAACCAGAACTCGCACTTCGAGAACTTCGCATACAACTGACTATCCTTCAGAGTCTGAAGAACCACTCTGAGGTGCTGCTCGTGCTCCTCCTGGCTGCGGGAGTACACGAGAATATCATCAATAAAGACTATCACGAACATGTCCAAATACGGCCTGAACACTCGGTTCATCAACTCCATGAATGCTGCTGGGGCGTTGGTCAACCCAAACGACATGACCAGGAACTCATAATGCCCGTACCGAGTGCGGAATGCTGTCTTAGGGACATCGGATGCCCTAATCCTCAGCTGGTGGTAGCCAGATCTCAAGTCTATCTTTGAAAACACTTTTGCGCCCTGAAGCTGGTCAAACAAATCATCAATCCTCGGCAGTGGATACTTGTTCTTTATCGTTACCTTGTTCAATTGCCGGTAATCAATGCACATCCTCATCGATCCATCCTTTTTCTTCACAAATAACACTGGCGCACCCCAAGGAGAAACACTAGGCCTAATGAAACCCTTCCCTAGCAAATCTTGCAACTGGTCCTTTAACTCCTTCAACTCTGGCGGGGCCATACGATACGGCGGGATAGAAATGGGCTGCGTGCCTGGAGCCAGATCAATACAAAAATCAATATCCCTGTCGGGCGGCATACCCGGCAGGTCTGAGGGGAAAACCTCTGGGAACTCCCGAACAATAGGAACTGAGTCGGTAGAAGGAACCTCTGTGCTGCAATCACGAACATATGCCAAATAAGCTAAACACCCCTTCTCGACCATGCGTCGAGCCTTAACATATGAAATGACACTGCGGGTGGCATGTCCTGGGGTCCCTCTCCACTCCAATCGGGGCAAGTCCGGTAAAGCCAAGGTCACGGTCTTGGCGTGACAATCCAAGATCGCATGATACGGGGACAACCAATCCATCCCCAATATAACATCAAAATCAACCATGTCTAGAAGCAATAGATCAACACGGGTCTCAAGACCCTCAAATACTACTACACAGGAACGATGAACTCTGTCGACCACTATAGAATCACCCACTGGCGTGGATACATATACAGGAATACCCAAGGCATCACGGGGCATAGCCAAGTAGGGAGCAAAATAAGACGACACATATGAATACGTAGACCCAGGGTCAAATAGCACTGAAGCATCCCTGTCACAGACCAGAATAGTACCTGTAATAACTGCATCGGAAGACTCAGCCTCTGGCCTGGCTGGCAAAGCATAACACCGGGGCTGAGCCCCACCTCCCTAAACTCATCTCTAGGACGATCAACCACTGGTTGTCCTCTGCCTCTGCCGGTCCGAGCTCCACCTCTACGGTCCCTACCTCCACCTCTATGATCCCTGCCTCCGCCTCTAGCTGGCTGGGCGGGCTGTGGATCACCTGCTGCCTGAATCGTGGGGCGAGGACCCTGCTGCTGAGAGCTGTCCGATGCTCGAGGGCAAAACCTGAGAATGTGACCGGGGTTACCACAACCATAACAAGACCTCGGCTGCTGCGACTGCTGGCCCTGTCGACCAGAATGTCCTCCCCTGAAGCTCTGAAGTGGGGGTGCACTGATAGGCTGCTGATCTGAATAATACTGCTGAGAACCTCCGCTGCCTGGAGCACCATGAGAAACCTGAAGCGCAGACTGAAAGGGCCTCGGTGCCTGACCTCTACCATAGCCCTACCTCCAGATGAGGTACCACAGAATCTACCAGTATGACGAGGCCTCTTGTCCGACATCTGACCACCTCCCCGAGTGAGGGCCATTTCAACTCTGCGGGCCGCATTGGCCGCCTCCTGGAAAGAGATATCACTACCAACTCCCATGGCCATCTGAAGACGGATCGGCTGAATCAATCCATCAATGAATCTCCGGACCCTCTCTCGCTCTGTAGGGAGTATCATAACTACATGGCGTGCCAGGTCGATAAATCTAGTCTCATACTGTGTAAGTGTCATAGAGCCCTGCTGGAGGCGCTCAAACTGCCTACGAAGTGCCTCCCGCTGAGTGACGGGGAGAAACTTCTCCAAGAATATCTCCGCGAACTGATCCCATGTCAAAGCTGGAGACCCTGCTGGTCTAGATAGGCAAAAATCTCTCCACCAAGTCTTGGCGGACCCTGCAAGCCTGAAGGTGCAAAAATCGACCACGTTGGTCTCCACTATACCCATAGTCCTGAGAATCTCATGACAACTGAATAGAAAATCCTGGGGATCCTCTGATGAAGCACCGTTGAAAGTGGTGGTGAAGCGCTTGGAGAACCGATCAAGTCTCCACAAAGCATCCGAAGACATGGCCGCTCCATCGCCGGCCTGAGCTGTAATACCTGGCTGAGCTGCCGCAGCTGGCTGAACCACTGGGGCATGAGTCTGTGGAGCTACCTGCTCCGGGGTGCGCGTAGCAGGAGTCTGAACCCCTCCTCCAGCCTGAGAAGTGGCTGGTGCTACTAGCAGCAAACCCGCTCTAGCAACACTATCCATAAAGCCTGCCAACCTGACTAGAGCATCCTGAAGGTCTGGGGTGAACATGACCCCTCCTGGGACCTGAGCTGGTCCCGCCGGAGCTACTGTGGCTGGAGCCTCCTCATCGTAATCAACATGAGGCTCCACCTCTGGGACTGCTGCTCGGGGCTGAGCTTTGCCCCGGCCTCTGGCACGGCCTCGGCCTCTGCCCCTCGTAGGAGCTGCTACTGGGGGCTCGGGCTGCTGCGCGGTGGAAGAGGAAGCACGTGTTCTCGCCATCTGCGAAAGAACAGAATAGAAAGACAATCAATCTTTGAGAAACAGAATCGCACGACAGGAAAGAACAAAAGTGAAACTTTTCCTAACTCCGTAGCCTCTGGGGGATAAATACAAACGTCTCCGTACCGATCCCTCAGACTCTACCGAGGTTATCCGTGAGTTGCGAGACCTATGTAACCTAGTGCTCTGATACCACCTTGTCACGACCCAGATTTTTCCCACCATCAGGCGTCGTGATGGCGCCTACTAACGGAGCTAGGCCAGCCATACATTAAACATTTGCTATTCAACCTCAACAATAATATATACTAACAACAGTTAAAGAAATGCGGAAGACTTTAAGTTTAACAAAATGATATAATAATGCGGAAGTTTGAAGCACCTCTCTACCCAAAATCTGGTGTCACTAGCTCACGGACTACTATAGAATACTACAACAAGTCTGAATGAAAGAAATACACATGTCTGTTTCGATACAATGAAAACAAACTGAAATAAGGAAAGGGACTTCGGCCTGCGAACGCCAGCTAGGCTACCTCGAGAGTCCCTGGACTGAAGATAGCTCCCGGATAAGAATCCTACTGCTGCTGTCCAAAAGCTGCTCCTAGATCTGTGCACAAAGAAATGCACAGAGTGTAGCATCAGCACAACCGACCCCATGTGCTGGTAAGTGCCTGGCCTAACCCCGGCGAAGTAGTGACGAGGCTAGACAGGACTACCAAACAAACCTGTACAATTTTTATATACAAATATGCAACAAAAGGAAAGAAAATACCGAAACTAAACAGTTAGAAGGGAGGGAAACATGCTTTGGGGAAAGTACAATTGGATATAAAGTTCGTCAGCGTAATTAAGAAACATGGCACAACAATAATTATCAAAGAATAAGAAGTTCAATAGTTGCACGGCATCACCCTTCGTGCTTTTACTCTCAATCTCACCCAAAGTAGTCAAATAAAATGCACGGCATCATCCTTCGTGCTTTTACTCTCACATAGCTCTCATCTCATGGCACGGAATGACCCTTCGTGCAAATATAATCAAATCAGAGCACGGAATGTACCTTCGTGCATAATTAGTCAAACATAGCACGGAATGACCCTTCGTGCAAATATAATCAAGAATAGCACGGAATGACCCTTTGTGCAAATATAATCAAGAATAGCACGGAATGACCCTTCGTGCAATTTCACTCTTCCTCACCCAAATAACAGTCACAACCAAACGGGCAAGGGAAATAAACAAGCAATATGAACTGTCCCGGCAAGGGAATAACACAAATAACAACCAAGTCCCGGCAAGGGAACAATAACAATATCTTTCACAACCCGGCAAGGGCAATACTCACTGTAATCAAACCATCCCGGCAAGGGATTAATCACAACTCCTTTCAATACGTTCATCTCTTACTCAATGGTATTCAACATTCGAGCCAATGCTCCAAAATATTAATATTTCACAACTTATCCTCTGACTCTTCACTTTTGCAGAAAAACATTTTTGTAGCTTAGAAAAGTTCCAAATTATCTCATAAACAAGTACAAACAAAGACCCACGGTCATGCTAGACTCCGGTGTATAGACACTCGTCACCATGCCTATACACCGTACTTGATCAATTAGCAAATAGCATTCATGATACTCTAATCCTATTCCCTCAAGCCAAAGTTAAGTCAAACACTTACCTCGGTCCGAAAATAGCAACCAAGCCTCTAGCACCGCCTTTTCCTCTAGAATTCGCCTCCGAAGTAATGGTATCTAATCATAATTAATTCAATAATATCAAATGAGGCTCAACAACATAATCCCATAGCCTAGAAATGAATTTCCTACCATTCTTCCAAAAATAGCAAAATCCGACACCGGGCCCACATGGTCCAAACTCGAGGCTCGGACCAAATTCCAATCACCCATAACCCCACGAGTTCAAATATATAATTTATTTCAAGATTCGACCCCAAGTTGAGGTTGAATCGCCCAAAATTCCCAAAATCCTAGTTCTACCCGAAACCCCCATTTTCTACCTTGAATTTCATAATTTAGGGCTAGGGATTTGATAGATGATGATAGGAAATGAAGAAGATGAGTTAAATGATACTTGCCCAAGGAACTTTGATGAAGGTTAACTCTAAAATTCGCCTAAGTGCTGTGGAGAAGACAAGGTTGAAGACAAATGGGAAAAATCCCGTAATAGCTACTGTTTTGAACTTAAAGATTCGCTGGGTAAAATTGTTCATCGCGTTCGCGTGATAACTGTCGCGTTCGCGTTGAAGGAAGGCAGGCAGGCATCGCGTTCGCTGAAAGAGGTCGCGAACGCGTAGAAGAAAATGCTGGGGGCCCAGGGACTGTTATACGCGAACGCGACAAGGGGGTCGCGAACGCGTTAAAGGGCGGGGCTGAGCTACGCGAACGCGTGAATCGAGCGCGAACGCGATGAGTAAAAATGAGGGCCAAGTCTTCTGAGTCAAATACTCTACGCGAACGCGATAAGGAAGATGCGAACGCGATGAAGGACGAAGCTGAAGCTTCGCGAACGCGAGAGGCCTAACGCGAACGCGAAGAAGAAAATCACTGGGCACCTGTTGCAGATTTTCTGCAATTTTCCTGAGTGCAAAACTACCCCGAACACCTCCGAAAACACTCCCGAGCCCTCGGGGCTCCTAACCAATCACACACACTAACTCTATAGCATCCTACGAACTTGCTCGAGCGATCAAATCTCTAAAATAACATCAAAATAAAATAATCAAACCCAAAAACTCAAAATTTTCCATTTCAAAGTTCTTAAGCCTTAACTTTGTATATTTAGATCCGAAACACGTCAAACGACGTCCGATTTCGACCAAATTTCACAAGAAGCCGCTTAACGCATATCTAAGACCTGTACCGGGCATCGGAACCAAAATACGAGCCCGATACCTATATTTTCTAACTCATTTTCATTTCCATTTTTCCTTTATAATTTCAGAAAATAATTTAACAGAAAAATTCTTTTACCGGGGTTCTGGACCTCGGATTTCGATTCCGGGCACATGCCCGAGTCCCATATTTTTCTATGGACCTCCCGGGACCGTCACATCACCGGTCCGGGTCCGTTTACCAAAAATGTGGACCAAAGTCTACTATATCAATATTAATATCATAATTCTTCAAATTTTTCACAGAACTCATATATTTTATCATATAAATTTTCCGGCTTCGCGCCCGGACTGCGCACGCAAATCGAGGCAACCAAAAGTGAGGTTTCCAAGGCCTCGGAAGCGCGGAGAAAGGGAGAAATACGGTGATGACCCTTTGGGTCGTCACAGTAACAACGGAGGACCGGTCAGGTAACAATGGTTGACTTACTGATTGAGTATAATTGATGTTTAATTGTTTTCAAAAAGGTTTTCTTATTATTTTTCACTGGTTTCTATTATTATTCCGAAGTTGCTGCTTGAGATAGCATTATTTGTGCCCTTGTGGCATTTTATGTTCTCAGTCGTTATTTATTTTTATTACTCACTGAGTCGGAGTACTCACATTACTTCCTGCACCATGTGTGCAGAGACAGGCACCGCAGAGTTAGTACCTGAGCGCTGTTTTCCTTCCAGACCAGGCGGACTAGGGGAGACGAGGTAGCTGTCGACGTCCACAGCCCCGTTTCTTCCTTATCTTCTGCATATTTTATTCATCTTCAGACTATGTTTTTTCCAGACTTGTAGTATATTTTTCATCAACTCTGTAGTAGCTCGTGACTTGTGACACCCCGATCATCGGGTTGAGTTTGGGATGGTTGTTTCCCGTTATGTTACGTTTATTTCCGAACGTGTGATTAATCAGTATTTATGGATTAAACCTGTTTATGTTAAGAGAATGTTAAAAGCAATGTTGATTGTTTCTGTTGGCTGGTCTTGTCTTCACGAGAGGCGCCATCACGACCGGGTGGGAATTGGGTCGTGACAATATTAAAAAATAACTTTTTAATAACTTTTAATTTAAAAGTTTAAAGTAATACTTCTTTCTTTAAACCTATTTAGAGTACCCAATTATATCAATAAAAGCGTAAAAAAAAATATATTCATGGTGTTCCAAATGAAATAAATTACGTAC